CCGTAGTCAGGGGGTATGCTTTTGGCTGCAGACGTAGGTCCCATAATGTTTTGAGCCTAGATTGCAGTAGGAAAACCTTGAGCTTTGAGGAGTCTGAGACAGCCCCAGTGAACTCTATTGTCTGTATTCTGTTGTCTTAATGCTGGTTCAGGAGTAATTTGTCCCAATAACCTAGGAGCCTCAGCCTGTTCTGTGGACAGGACAGTGGATATGCTGGATAGGACTGGAGCCTTAGTCTGACTTGTGATCCCAAGGTTGTCCAGGTGCAGGAATACATGAACACCTAATTTTTGTAGATGTGCTGCCACCACTACCATGCACTTTGTGAACAGCCAAGGAGCAGCTGGCAGACCAAACAGAAACATGGTGAACTGATAGTGGCTACCATTCAAACCTGGGAAAATTCCAATTGTGGTGGTGTATTGTGACATGGAAATAAGTGTCTTTTAAATTGAGGGGAGCATGCTAGTTCTTCTGTTCCAGGGAAAGAATAAATTGAAGCTAGGGTAATCATGCTGAATTTTATTTTCTTTGGCAATTTGTTCAACTTGCTTACATCTAAAATAGGCCTGAGGCCCTTTTCTGCCTCAGAAACGAGGAAATAGCAGAAATAGAAACCTTTCCCCTGAGATATCACAGAACTTCTTCCTGAAGAAGAGGATAGATCTCCCACTGAAGGGCAATCTTGTGAGTGTGGCCCCTGACAAGGAACTAGATGTCATATTCCAATTCCACCATGCTTAAGACCTTTTCCCTGATACTATGTAGACCCAAACACCTAGGAAGTGGGACAAGTGATTGGACATCAAACTGGGGAACTGATGGAATTACAGGAATTAGCACATTGCCTTTGACCAATCCCATTCAATGTCTGTATGTATGAGATAACTGGACAGAATGAGCCCACAGATACTGAAGAAAAGGGCAATGGAAGGTGCCTGTCATAATCTTTGTCCTTTTTTCTTGTCCAATCTTGACATCAGGGAGCATTGACTTGGTGACTGTATAGCTGCTGTGGATGAAACCACTTTCTTTTTGTGCCCAAGGTATACATTCCAAGAATTGTCAGTGTCACCCTGGAATTCCTAAGGCTAAGCCTGCCATCCGTTTTTTTACCAAAAAGAAGCAAGGGACCTTAAAAAGGGAGGTCCTGGAGAGTTTGTTGGACTTTTAATGGTAGTCCAGTCCAACCATGAATACCTTCTCATAGGAATAGCTGATGCCATGATTCAAGCAGCCCTGTCTGCACTACCTATACCATTTTGGAGAACAATCCTGGTGACCAGCTTATGACCATATGTTCTTCAGCAATTACTGCAAACTCCTGTCTACAGTCTGGTAACTTTCCTTAAATTTTATCAGGTTTTCCCAATGAGTGAAATCATAGTGATTCAGGAATGTCTGTTGGTTTGCAATTCTGAGGTAAACACTCCTTGAGGAATAAAGTCTACAACCAAACAGATCCAGATTCTTTGAGTCTTTGCCTTCAGTGTTGATGCTTTTTGCCCACATGCTTCCCATTCAGTGGCAGCTGCCACTATAAGAGAACTTGGGATGGGGTGGGAGGTTTGAGGATAAGATTAAAATTGTTCAGAAGACAAAGTACCTCCTCTCAGATCATTTTACTCTCAGGGACAAGGAGGGGGCAAGATCCTTGACTGACTCTATGATGGCTTGATTAATTTGAATAACCTGGCCAGGGGTTGCTGATACCAGAATGTCCAGCTACTTGTGAGAGCTTTCATACATCTCTTCTGCCTGAATGTTAAGTACAGAGGCCACCCTTCTCAAAAGAACATCAGGAGCCTATGGTCCTCTAACAGTGGTGAGTCACTTGACAGGTCAATAGCTTCATCTGGTGACAAGGACAAGGACACAACAGGCAGCTGAAGTGATAGCTGGTGTACAACTTGTGTTGGGAAAGTTGCCCAAGTGACTTCCGACTGTTTGATCTCGGTATCAGAGAATGATGCACTTGATACCAGTGTGCTCTCCATGGGTATGTCTACACTAGCCCCCTAGTTTGAACTAGGGTGGTTAATGTAGGCATTCGAACTTGCAAATGAAGGCCGGGATTTAAATATCTTGGACTTCATTTGCATGTTCCCGGGAGGGCGCCATTTTTAAATCCCCTTCGTTTGAACTGACTACCCGCGGCTACACACGGCAGTCAGAAGTTAATCCGAACTAAGTCCTTAGTTTGGATTAACTGTTACACCTCATTGCAGGAGGAGTAACAGTTAATCCAAACTAAGAACTTAGTTTGGATTAATTTCTGACTGCCGCGTGTTCGAACTAAGGGGATTTAAAAATGGTGCCCGCCCGGGAACATGCAAATGAAGTCCAAGATATTTAAATCCCGGCCTTCATTTGCAAGTTCGAATGCCTACATTAACCACCTGACAGCAAGCAGGATGGTGGAAGGGAGGTCATAGCTGGCAGGAGGGAGAATCCATGAGAATCCATATCCAGAATGCCACTGGTATGGGCCAGAAACCCACTGACCCTTAGAAGAAGGCCTGTGCTGCCAAAGCCTTTGATGAGAGGTAGGGTGCTCTGTGTTCTGAATGGGATACAAGTGGCCTCACCTCCAAGTCTGAAGAAGAGCCAGATACTTTTGACAATGGAGAGGAAAATTCAGTTGGGACTCGGGAAAGATAACCCAGATCCAAGGATGGCAGTACCTGGAAACTGCAGTAGTGCAGAATCCTGATGTGTTGAAATATGAGCTGTGAGCATCAATACCAGCTACAGACCTTCTGCTGGTTATGCCACTACCAGGAGACTAAACAGGTCTCATTTGGCTCTGTATGCCTCTGGAGTGGTTGGGAGCAGTATCATTTCACCAAAAGTTTTTCAGGGGACAGCCTCAACAGACCTGGCACAAGCTCTGGAGGTGGCAATCCCCTCTTGGCAGACGAGTCCAGGAAGCACCTTGCCAGTATGGGTTCCCAGCTGAATCCACTGCATTTATTAAGACCACAGTCTTATTTATGACTTATTACAAGAACCTTTAACCTACTAACCCCAGTTTTTGTCCTATACTTGTAGCAGCATTAACAGGCCACTTCACCTTGAATGGTCTGTTAGTTTAAGAATAAGTAATTAGTACATATACTTTCTGTTTGATCTTGTATTTAGCTATGATTCTAAGTACCTTTCCCAGACTTCAGGAAGACCTCTGTATAGCTCAAATGCTTGTCTCTCACCCACAGAAGCTGGTTCAATAAAAGACTATTTTTGAACATTTAGGCCATACAGAAAGTTATTGATGTCAGAGAGTCTGATTTTATTCTCTCTTTTATACTCTAATTTACACTATGTAACTCTATGGTTATACTTAATATTAACTTTTGATTATTTTTATATGATAAACTTTTGTAATTCTTTTATGTGCTAACCAGAATACTTTTTATATTGTATATTGACATGTTTACAGTCCTACATCTATTTAAACTAAAAAGTTCAGTGTCTTTCAATTAAATCTAATGGGTGACAGCCCACTTAATTAGCCTCATTAGCACTGGTCCTACATTTGACAGGTAACTTTTTTTCTTGTTATAAATAACTTGGTTTCTGTTATTTCTACTTCAGCTCATCACCTGATGAAATCGGTTTTTGTTAGTCTCTACGGGTACATCTACACAGAAACATTATTTTGAAATAATGTCGAAATACTGTCAAGCTGGAGGTCTTCTTACTCCGACTTTTGTAACCTTCATTGTATGAGTAAGGGAAGTCGAAGGAAGAGTGCTCCATTTCAAACTAAGTGCTGTGTAGATGATCCCAATTTCAAAATAAGCTATTTCGAAATAAGTTACACAATTGACGTAGCTCAATTTGCGTAACTTATTTCGAGTTAAGCCCCACTGTGTAGATGCACTCTAAGGTGCCACAGGACTATTCAGTAAGGGTGCATCTACATAGCAGGACTTAACTCAAAATAAGCTATGAAAATTGAGTTACAACAATTGCATAGCTTATTTCAAAATAGCTTATTTCGAAATTGGGATCTACACGGCACTTATTTTGAAATAGAGCACTCTTCCTCTGACTTCTCTTACTCCTTGTAAAATGAGAGTTACAGGAGTCGGAGTAAGAAGTCCCCCAGATTGACAGTATTTTGACATTATTTCAAAATAATGTTGCTGTGTAGATGTGGATTAAGTCATTATGAAATAATTCTAGTTATTTTGAAATAATGTTGCTGTGTAGACATAATGCAATGTGTGTAATCTTTTAACCCAGTTGTTTACCTGATTTTAATGTAGACCTAGTATTCAGGGAAGAGACCACTCAAACTAATGGAAAATGTCTGTACAAAAGTGCTATAAACAAAACTGGGTGATTGATTAGGAATAATTCTTACTACAGATTGGATCTATAATGGATGAAATAATTACCTCTTTGAAGGAAATGTTTACCTTTTTAAGAATAACCAATTGCCAGAGCAGTTAGTACTTATGACCAGATTAGAGATTTCATTTTGCTCATCAGTCAGCTAAAACGGTGAACCATAAATGAGATTACATTATTAATTAGGAAAACAGAATAATGGTAAAATTAATTATGGGAAAGTATTTCCCCTCTAAAATGGATTTTGCCTCACACCCTATAAAAGCATAGAGGGTTTGGAAGTTAATTTGGGAATTACAGACTACGTTGCTAGCATCCCACCAGAGAAGAGAGAGACAGAGAAAAGCTGTTTACCTTACAACATAGTTAGTAATATATCTATTCTTTCTGTATTTTATAAGTACTGTATTATCTTTGATGAAATAATTACATTTGAGCCTGTTATTTGATGATCTCAAATCATTGTTAAATTCAAACATGTAATAATGGACTTCAATGAAGTTACTCCTGATTTATGCTTCCTCAAACAGCTGATCTCTGTAGAAGCTGTTGATTAGACAGTACATAGAATATCTCAGTACAATAAAATCTATGTTGCTATGACATAAAAAATGTTGCCTGTGTTCTAGACTTTTCTTAAATACCTGTAAGATTTCTTAATTTCTTCATGTGTTGCCCCCTTCTCCAGAGCCAGAATTCCATATAATGCTTCTCCTGATGTGGATAAAGTCCGTTGCCTTTGTTCAGCCATCTTATCTGTGCATTACCAAGTCTACCGAGGAGGAAAAAAGAACAACTGGGATTGCATATGTAGGGATCATATTTCTTACTGTTAATTTTAATAAGTTTTCATTTGTAAAGTTACTTTCTAAACTATTTTATAAGTAAGTAAATCTGTAAAAGCATAAACCCTTCCAAAGAAGCCACAGACCCTTTCTTGCCCCAAATACATTATTTTACAATGATTTTCAAAAGAAAAAAAGTGCTTGGATTAGGAGCCAAAGGTCCCAAATAAAAGGTTAGATCCTGCTCTCAGTGAAATTAATAGCAAATTTCCCATTAAACTTCAATGAATGCAGAATCAGGCCTGAAAATAATAAAAGGCCATGTCAGCATAATTGATAATTTTGGTTTTCTCCTTCACTTCAAGTACTACAAACAAAATTCAACCTCTCACCAAGGGTAAAAATGAATTAAATTTCTAACAGATGGCTCAGGGCAGAGGATTAGGGAGGTGCAATATGACAGTACCTGTAAGAAATTTAAGTGTGGGGTGGAGTGCAGCGGGCTCAGGGCAGGGAGTGGGGATATGGGGAATGCAAGAGTCAGGGCTGGGGATGTGAGGAAGAGCTCAGGGCAGGATGCTGGGGGTAGTACAGGAGTCAGGATTGAGGGTGTGAGGAGGGACTAGGGGAGAGCTTTGGAGTGAGGGGGGGATGCAGGAATCAAGACAAGGGATTGGGAGGGCCTTTGGGCAGAAGGTTGGGGTGTGTGGTGGAGTACAGAGGAGGGACAAAGGGGCCCTTTAGGAAGGGCAAGAAGGCTGAACCACCCCCAATTCCTACTGACGCTGCTTGTTGTTTGCACTTCCCTTCCATTACTGTCAGGGAGCAAGAGGAAAGCTCACAGCATGGGTCACTCACTCTTCTGCCCCCTCCCTGACAGGAGGGAGAGGAATTCAGGGACACTGTGTGCTGTCCTCTTGCTCCTTTACAGTGACTGAAAGGGAACAGCAGGCAATAAGTCGTGGCAGTAGGAATGCGGAGAGAGGGGAGGCTTCACCCCCCTGCCTTCTCTAAAAGATGCCCTAGGGTGGTTTGGGACTGGTGCACTCTGAGTCAGACCCTTTTATCTAGCTACTGCTTAGTGCAGCAGCCTGCAGTTGGCCTCCACAGGAGCCTGACTTGGAGCCCCACCTCCTTCTTCAATGGACCCCAGCCAGCTCTTACTAGAGCAGCGTTTAGGGGCACACCGCCTTACTTTCACTTCTGCCTCTCACTAAGACCATTGGCTTATTTCAGTAGGATGTCAGCTTTATCTCACCCCAGTCACCCTTTTAGAGCAGATTTCTGATCATTTTTTCCTTTCTGAGCAGCACAAAGTGACTAGATTAGAGGCCAAGGATTGAGCCCAATGTACTATTATAGAACTGACCTTCCATAATAATCTTATGTGTGGGAAAAGTTGAAGTGAAGTTGGGTCTCATGTTCAGAGGTCATGGTTGTGTCCTACAGTGCAATCATTCCAGTAAAATTCCTAAGAAGTCTGTGACAAATTTGCCATTGGCCTCCTTACTGCATGGCAAGAATGAAGGTTAAATGTAGATTCGTCAGTGGATCTACTCCTATGCATATCAATCAGCCATTACCTCATGGCTCCTGCAGGTGGAATTAGCAGCAGAACTACCATCCACAGAGTGGCTCGGCTACCACTTTGCAGCATATGAGGAGGAGCATTTTTGATCCCTGCAGAATTTCTTTATACTGTATTCTGTTAGCACCTACACTTGGATTTGGGGTTGAGGGAAACATCTACTTTTTTGACAACTGAACAACCACAACAAAGCTCTGATCATAACCGAATATAACCAAAGGAAAAATCTACAGTGAGTTGCAGGCTTGTTTTGGAGACAGACATTTCTGAGAACTGAAAGATTAACTAGCATTTCAAAACTACTACTCTGCCATTTCTCTCTTCTCACTGCTGAGCTGGAAACATTATCCTGCCTTTATTCATATATTATTTACAGACACATTTTGGTTCAGATACAGCTTTGTAACAAATTAAACTTCCTTATCTGTATTCAGTTGCAAAACAGGAGCAAGCATGCTATTAAAAACAAAACTAAACAAAACTGCTGGTCAAAAGATTACACAAAATTACATAAAAAAGTGAACTTCCTATGTAACTTTGGCAAAATCTATTTCCTTAAGGAAACCTTATTTACATTGAGGATTTCTTTTTTGTGAATTCTTATTCAAATAAATAAATGCAAAGTAGAAGGATACTGTGAATTACTGAAGTTCGTATATCCAGCTAAAATAAATGTCATAGTGCAAAACTACCTATTAAATAACAGAACATAATAAATAAATGACCATTTAGAAATGGCCTTTAAATATTCAGGCCTTAAATATTAATTGACCAGCTGCATTATGATAAGAATGACATGATTATAACATGTTTAACATGACATTAGCATTGGAACCTATCCTGCTAATGTTTGAGTCAATGGAAGAAATATCTGTCCCAAAAACATTACCAAACCTCTCACAACCAGATAAAATTAGGCAACAATATAAAGTTACTGAACTACAACACAATTTAAAAATGTGTTGCATCACAGCAAAGGCAAAACCCAAAAAGGTAAATTAAGATTAATCTTACTTTAAAGGACAGCAAACTAGCCTAATTTGTACTTTCTCACAAAGCACTTTTTAATATTTTGTTACTGAATCACTAAAATTTTCAGGAACTTAATCTGCCATGCAAACTTCAAGACACTAACAAAGTCATCCTGATCATCCTTCCATTGTAATCAGAGAGAGTTTGGATTACTCATTTTTAGTTGTTCTATAAAAATATGAAAAAAAAAAAGATTCAGATAAAATCTGTCAATCCCAGTTTTCTAAAGCAAGTTAAAGTTTCTTTATTAACAACAATAAAGATAGGTACAGTACCTGTTTCAGTTCCAGATCCTATACTGCATGGATTCTAATGTAATATGATCCTAATGTAATATTTTGTGTTAGTGGAATAAAGAAATGAGAATATTGTTTATTTCCATTAAAACTGACAAATATTTTAAAAAGACAAGTGAGATATTGTTAAACAATTACATCTCATTCCCATTTAAAATAGCATGACTTAATTTACTATATTTTCAGCTCATTTAGATTTATGCTATTTATGAGAAAAATAAGGTATTGTGGTTCTAATAACATATGTTTCTAAAATTGCTGTTACAAAGTCTTATCTAGAGAGTCTTTTGTGTGATCTTACAACATGATTACTCAGTGTCTTGATAATTTTTGTTAGTGATCTATTAACTCAAAAGGAAAGAAAGCAACAGAAGAAAGTGTTTCCATACCTGAAGCACTGTCCCATACAAGAAGGCTGCTGCTTTTCATCCTTCACATTCAGGGTTAAACAGGTCATTGGAGTTTGGTTACTATTTTTTGTTAGTCTGGTATCCAATTGGTTCTCTCTTTGGAAGACCTATAAAAGAATGAATAAAAAATTCATGAACATAAAGGTTGCTATTACATGACAGCCTATGATACCAAAAATATACTATATTCATGTTTGATTATGCTTCATCCCTTGTTCTGCTGTCAAGCTCTAACAGATATACTGAGTTTGTTGGATTTCCTCCCATCAGTGGTTGCAAATTGTCTAACAACACTGACCCCCTCACTTTAAGACTTCAAGGTTATATAATTTCAGCACCTGTTCCCTTCCAAAACAACACAGTACTCGTGAGGTATTACATGGGGCGCTTCTCATTAAAATTCCACCATCAAGCAGAAAGGAAGTTTGGGGTATCTCCACTGCCTTCATTGGGGCTCACCTCTTGAGCTCCAGGATAAAAGGTATCTCTGGCAAACATCAAAAAAGTCTGAAGAGCTATTAATTTGTCTTAGGAATGGAGCAGATTGCACCAAATGTCAGGTACAAAAAAAAAAAAAATTCCCAGAGGAGCACATCTTTGAACACCCCTCATATAGGTCATTTAGACTGAACTATATGAAATGTAGGTTATAGTTCTGCAATCAAATTCATGGACCCCACTGAGGTCATAGGCCAGTAAAGTCAATGCAGACAAAGATCTATTTATCTACCTGCGTCCAACTTAAGGAATAAAGCTATAGTCTATATAGTTTTCAAAAATAAAATATAATAATTTACAATAAAGATATACCATATCTGTTGGCATAGTGGTGATGTCTTCCATCTTGACTGTAATTATTAGAACGTATGTTTCTTTTTTAAAAGGAAACAAAATGGCGAGAACTGTTCAAAAGACAGTTACAATAATTTTATATTCCTCTTGCACTCAGCAGTATTATTTTTCTTCAAACAGTCCACTGAAATTTGTCCTTGGATGAACTTCGAAAATTTCAACCTGAAAGATTAAAGTTTCAGATAGATATGGAAGACTGAAAATAGGGTTGGAATGATTTTTTCTAAAAACCTCAACTATGGTATATGGTGCCATTCCTGTTATTTTGCATATACACATGAAAGTAACTTGTCCATTCAGTGTGCTTGTTCTCAAGTTTCAAATGATTTTGTTTAAAGGCAATTATTATAGACTGAATATATTTTAGAAAGCATGAAAGAAAGAAAATTTAACAAAATGGTTATCACTACTCCTGTCAGAATAACATGCCTCATTATATAAATAATTTTTGCCAGAAATCTTTGATATCCTGTGAGTCTGTTATCAAGAAAAATATTATCACTATCCTGGGATAAAAGGTAGACACATTATTCTGTGTGATTACAGCTCCCTCTAGTGTTCACAACTACTTTTGTAAACTTTAATAATTTTTAAGTGTCCTCTTTGGTGCTTTTTATTTTGTTTTGTGATGGACCTTTCAGAAAAAACCTAGCCCTTATACAAGTCTAGGGTTTTCCCATTGGAAATGTTGTTTATCCCAATCACTGTCTCAATCTTTGGATTACTCAGCATTTCATAATCTATCAAAGCTCTTTAGTTCCTGATAACACACACCACTTTGAAGTGTAAGACATTTAGTCTACGATCTTGCTTGTATTCCAAATTAAACATAACAGGAGACTCATTTGCATATTACTTTCTGACAGGTTGGAAATGTGGCCCAAACGGGCTGTGGCTAGTGCCTGACCAGTATAGTAGCACACAAGCTGAATCACAGTGAATTAAGCTGAATCCTGATCTGCCTCTCCCTTCCAT